ATTCCATCCATCCCCACACATACATATATAGACACAAACACACACACTCTCGTATACACACACACACACACACACACACACACACACACACACACACACACATAAATGTTTTTAAAGAAGTTACTTGGCCAGCACTTGGGAAGCAGAAGCAGGTGGATCTCTGTGAGTTTAAGACTACCCTGGTCTGTATAGTGAGTTCCAGTGCTGGGACTACAGGGAGACCCTGTCTCAAAAAACAAACCAACAAACAAAAAAATACCTCCCCCCGGCAAAAAAAAAAACCCTAGAAGTTAGGACTGAAATCATAAACCCAGTTTGGGGAGGTAAGATTTTACAGGGAATATACCCAGAAGTAGATATGCCATTTGATATTCCCACTAAGGCACCATCATTTAGGCTAGCTGTGGTCTTGGGTCACAGCATTAGACCTCAAATCACAGAAACATCAAGTCCTGGGAGAATAATACATTAAGAGCTTAAGGCAGGGGCTGGAGAGAGGGTTCAGTAAGAGCATTGGCTGTTCTTGTGGAGGGCCGTGTTCAGTATCCAGTACCCATGTGGTGGCTAACAACCATCCATAATGTACGATGTACTTACATACATGCATACATGCAGGCAAAACACTCAAGACACATAAAATAAAAATAATTTTTTTAAAGAGCCTATGGCAGACTGTGAGTAGTAGCCAGGTGGAAAACCTTCTGATTTACTGACAGTATTTCCCTTGCTCAAAATGATACTCTGGCTCCACTCCCTAGGACTCCTCTTCTCCAAAGCTATTTTTCTGGTGTCTCAGCTGAACCTTAGGTGGGGCTGAGGCTGACACTCTGTTTTTCCTCTGGAGGACATGAGTCAGTGAACAGTGAAGTTCCACTTAATCACTACCCAAAAATAAGGTTCTTAAAAATCAGGAGCTAGAAAAGTAAGGAAATGATTAATACAAAGTCAGGACAGTGATTTACACTTGAGCAGGGTGGGGCTAGATGGCAGGGATGCCTGTTGGAGAAGGGATAGTCAGGGGTCTTCTGGAGTTTGACAGTACTATATCACTTGATCTCAGTGATGGCTGCATTGGTGATGGTTCCTTTATAATTATATTTATATGTTCTTTTCTAAATATATATTATAGTTCACAATTACAAACAGCTAAAAAATAAACTATAAAAAGTTCTTAATTTGGAAAAAACTGACTAGATTTGTATTAATTATTAAAAGGTTGCTTGGAGAGCCAGACATGATGGCATACACCTTTAACCCCAGCACTTAGGAGGTAGAGGCAGGTGGATCTCTGTGAGTTTGAGGCCAGCCTGGTCTACATAGAGAGTTCCAAGTCAGCTGGGGTTACAGGGAGTCCCTGTCTCAAAAAGACCAAGGAAAAAAAGGAAGGAAGGAAGGGGGGAAGGAAGGAAGGAAGGAAGGAGGGAAGGGGGAAGGAAGGAAGGAAAGAAGGAAGGGGGAAGGAAGGAAGGAAGGAAGGAAGGAAGGAAGGAAGGAAGGAAGGAAGGAAAGGGAAGGGAGGAAGGAAGGGGGAAGGAAGGAAGGAAGGAAGAGGGAGGGAGGGAGGGAAAGAAAGAACAAAAGAAAGAAAGAAAGAAAGAGAAGGAAAGAAGGGGAAAGGAAGAAGAAAGGAAGGAACGAAGGAAGGAAAAGAAAAAAGAAAAGATCACAGGTGCTGAACAGAAAATTGAAGGTAGGACAAGGCAAGAAGAAAAGAAACCGCTTAGGAGGTAGCTGTCATAACTTGGTGAGGGACTATAATGACCTGATCTACGAAGGGTTAAAATATTAGCACTATAAACTGCTCCATTTTGAAAATGACAACCAAAATAACACAGAAGCTGGCACAGAAGCCTTTCAGTTCACTTTTCCCCTCTGTACCTTTGTGAATTAGGCTCAAGAACTGCAGTCCAAAGGTAGGCACATGTTCAAATAGACATACAGGCAACTTGATCCTGTGTCAAGTCTACCCTGAGGATGTAGGCTGAGTGACCAGTGGTAGTAAGAACACATTTTTATGACACCATGATATTATCCAAGTTGAGCTGGCATAGTATCCTGGCATCAAAGTTGAACTGTTATACATGATAGCCTATCATAACATGTAGTCATCATAATAACTTGTCACTGAAGATTTCATGGAGTGTTTCCACGTCTACTATCTGGTTCTAGAATGTTAACTCTGGAAGGCAAAGACTTTTGTTCACTTTGTTCACTACTGTATCCATAATGTGAAGAAACAAACTTGATATGCCATAAGTGTTCAATAAAGATTACTGTATGACCCCCTGTTTTTGAGACAAGGTTCTCCTAAGTTACCATGTTAGCATTGAAGTCATGATTCACCCACCTCAACCTTCCAAGTAACTGGGATTCCAGGCACATACCATGGTGGCTGGTTCACATTTAATTATTATGTTACTGCTATCTAATCATCACAATAATCCTCTGAGGGCAGAAAGGACATAAAATATTATCCTCATTTTGTAAGTTAGAAAACAAAGACACGGGAAATTAAGGAACATTTTAAATACTTGATAATTTGATCGATGACAAAATCCAGTTTTCGTTTTTCTCACTTCACAGATGAAGATCTGAGGATTAACATTCTTATAGTTCTGAAACACCAGCTAGAGAACATTACAGGTATGTCAGACGCCAAGTGTTATCTGATGTGCCAGGTTCTAAGGTGACTGTGACTTTCTCAGCTTTCAGTGCGTTGGTAACCGTAGTTCCCTCAGGAGACTCAGTGTTTCTCTGGATATTCAAGTCTACCTGACCTGAGTCTTCCTTGCACTCACATTTCTCTCCATGTCCCTCACTTGTCTCTACTCCCAACTCTATCCAGCCCACTCTCCAAGCAACAGAAGTTAAGAAAGCTCTGTTACTGGGAAAAACCCCACTTGTTCTAATAATTCTTACAAAGTAAAAAAAGAGAAAAAAAAGTAGTAATGGGTAGTTTTAGTACTTTTCCAAAAACCTCTGTCATTTAAATGGTATCCCATAGGGAGGTGAAAACTATGTTACATGAAAAGTTAATCTTAGTCTCTTTCTTCTTAGAATTAACTAAAATTAGTAACTTGAAGCATAAATCATAACTTAAATACTCAGATGTTCAATTAGTTTTAGTATTTATGCATCTATGTATACCTTGTATTGAATTCTTTGTTAAATTCAAAATAACCAGCAAACAGAACATTAAAAACAACATTTTTAACTGAATACTGCATACAAACAACTCAGAGAAGACATAGTTTTAGGTTGTCTTCCTCCCTGCTTCTCCTTCGCATTCTGATATTCACTTTATCCCTATAAGAATCTAATCTGGGTAAGTTGGACCACAATAGATAGTTAAATAGTATATGTAACTAGTCTTAGAGCATCAAAGAGAACTTACCAGAAATTCATTGGCAAACTCCTTATTGTTAATTTTCTTGCTTTGGGCCTCCTTCAGTAACTGCTGCAGAATTTCTCTTTGGTCCATGCTGCAGAGCTAGAGAAAGAATCTGCGAGTGGTTTGAAGGAGGGCATGTCAAATGTGTGTCATGGCCGAGATACCACCAGGAAGCCACTGCTGCTGTCTGAGCACACTCTGAAGGCTGTGGTTTACTGACTTCATCACAAGCTCTAGAGGAAATTAGTATGAAACCAGCTTCTGTGGTCACATAACAAACCATCATCTCCCTCCAGGGCCTTAGTGCCTCCCTTTTCAACAAAGAAACTTGGTTACAGTTCAAGTTTTAACAAACAGGCCATAAAATGTGGTCTGTTTAGTTCTGCGACTGTTCCACTCTGTCACCTTTACACAACATTGACCTTTCTTTTTGCTTCTCAGAGAACAGACAGAATTACAGCTCTAGGGGTGAGTTCAGGTTCCCCACATTTCCCTAATGCGCAGAAAGATCTTGTTGATATCTGTTCACTCAAGTGAACGCTGTAGGAAAAGGAGACAGACCCTGGAGTTACCTATATTTTACCTGGACTGGTCTCCCAAAAGTCTCTTGTAAACATATCAACGGCAAATTTCTGGTCATTAAGAAGGCATTTTTATTCAAAATGTTTAAGCCTGCCATATAGACCTCAATTTTTCTTTTAGAGGAAGCAAAGTCAACTGCTTCTAACAGTCAGTCTGTCTCAGGGCTGGGGAAGTGCTGGCCCCCATTAAGGGAAGCGTTGATTTCTGTACCTCTTCAAACCACCAGTAGCTTTTGATCTTTACTTGGTTCTGAATATAAACACAGAGTGGTGGTCTATGTAGGATCAGAAGCAATTGGTAGGGTTAGCACACTATCCCCAGAATGCACTGCTGGTAAAGAGTGAAAGAACAAAAAGAAACTAAAGTCTACCTTGCTGACAGCAATCTAAATTCTAGGTCAGAGAGCCTGGAGAGAATTAGGTACAGCGGTGCACATCTGGAGTCCCAGCTGCTCAGGAGTATCACTCAGCAAAAGGATCACTTGAACATAGCAGCCTGGGAGACAACATAAGACCTCTCTCCCTCAAAAAGAGGCGGGGGGGGGGGGGATGGCCATGATGGTATATATCTTTAATCCCAGCACTTGGGAGGCAGAGACAGATCTCTGTGAGTTCCAGGCCAGCCAGGGATACATAGTGAGACCCTGTCTTAAAACACCAA